GCCTATGGGCCACAATACTCACCTGTTTTATATATCTCATCAGCATTCAAATCTGACTCTTAGCTAAGACCCACAAATCTATGTTACTTTATAATCTACACAACACAAGAATACTTGTATATGCAAAAATTCTTATCAATATAGAGTTGTCAAAATTGACAATCTTTGTTTTAATTGACTTTGTTTTCTTTTTCACATTAGATGTGAGGTTATAATTTTTGTAACTAAAAGAATAACCTTTTATTAAAAAAATAAATAATAAAAATGCCATTATTTGCAACAAGTTTATTTGCAAATTGTCAGTAGTGAAGTTCATTTGCGCCTGTTAATTTCACAACTGTGAAAACATTCTACACAAATTAAATAATTGATTCATAGCTACAGTAATATTCGCAACTCGCAAGTGAAAGAATGTATATACGGATACTTCTCACACCCCAATTAAATATGGTTTACAGTATTGAATGAGATATGAAACTATTTTATAATCACTTCATCACTCCTCCTTACAATGCATTTTTAAAATTCATAAAATTAACAGAAAATCTCTGACCCATCAGCATGCTCAATGTACATGTTTTATAGACCTCACTGCAAATTAAGGGATACTGGAAGTTTCATTAAATTTTGTTTAAATACCCTGAGTCTGTTGAATAGATGACACTGTCCTATTATAAAGTGTGGCCTGGCCAGAGTAGTGATGATGGTTGTCAAACAAAAACACACTACACCAGTACCATAGTAGGGAATGCTTTCTGAATCTGGGCTCTCCAAGACAAACATCCAAACACATCCAAAAACAAGGCACACCAAAATACTCATGGGAAAGCTGAAAAGAGATGCGTTATTTGATCTGTGTTTAGCTAGAAATACATTGTATGATAAATATGGCAATAGGCACCTGGAATTCAATAACTTTCACTGGTTCTAGCAAGTGTCTCATTCTCTGCTTGAAAAATAAAAGACCTATTTTAGGTCACCTGAGTCACCCATAGTCTCTGTTCCCCTGGGGCCTGGGAATGGGACTAAATGCCTCAAAATTAATGCAATCTTCAAAATTCTTCCTCTTTACTCCTGGATATCAAGCAGTTAAACTGTGGGCATGATTATAATAGACATTGAGCATTTTACCGAAATTGTAAAATTCATATCCTCTAGGTCACTGGTTCTGGTGCTAGGGCAGGGCTGTATTGATCATATAGTGAAAATGCATTAATTCTTTGAAAATCTCCTCTGTTCTTGGGCATTTAGGAGGTAAACATGGGGTTTTAAATTGTAAATGAGCAAAGAAGTTTTCACCAGATTTGTAAAATTTTTCATCACTGGGTCAGGGATTCTGGTGCTGCACAGGGATTTACTGATCATGGCTTTGCTGTTCTTGAGAATAAGATTTTTAAAGATTTTTTTCTATATTTTTCTATGTAAAACTTTGATGCCAAATTGTGGCCCAACCCTTCCCCTGGGGGGTCATCATTTCAACAAACTTGAATATACACTACCTGAGGATGACTCCATATCAATGTGACTAATCATGGCTTTGCTGTTCTTGAGAAGATGTTAAAAGATTTTTTCCTATATATTCCTATGTAAAAATTTGATCACCCATTGTGGCCCCACCTTTCCCCCAGTGGTGATGATTTATACAAACTTGATTCTACACTACCTGAGGATACTTTCATATCAGTATGACAATTAATGATGGTTTGCTTTTCTTGAGAAGATTTTTCCTATTTATTCTTGTGTAAAACTTTGATCCCCCCATTGTAGCACCACTTAACCCAAGGGGGGTCATGACTTGAAAAAAATTCAATCTACACTACGTAATGAAGGTTTTACATAAGTTTTAACTTTTTTGGCCCAGTCGTTGTTGAAAAGAAGATTTTTAAAGATTCCAACAAATTTTCACTAATTCTTAATTATCTCCCCTTGAAAGAGGATGTGGCCTTTCATTTGAACAAATTTGAATCCCCTTCACCAAGGACTGTTTTGTGGCAAGTTTGATCAAATTTAGCCCATTGGCTCTGGAGAAGTCAAAAATGTGAAAAGTTGACAGACGGCTACACAGACGGACTACAGACAAAGTGTGATAAGAAAAACTCACTTGAGCTTTCAGCTCAGGTGAGCTAAAAAGTCCTTTTGAATTATAGTTCTTTTTAGTTAACCAGGTTTTCCATAGGAAAAGTCTGGTTATTCAAATGGTGAAAATGGCAGGTGAGCAGCTGCCAATAGGGTTCATTTGTCCAGATAACTCCTCCTACAGTTTTCAAGATAGAAACTTTTTATTTTATATATCAATTGTACATATCATAGAGATGTGCATAGTGCTTGGATTTCGATTTTTTTTATAATTTATGAGAAAAATACCAAATACCAGCTGTTGACATTATCATTTTTTTATTTATTTATTTTTTTTTTTTTTGCAAAATATTGCATATAGGGTACATCATTTGTCCAGATAACTCCTCCTACAGTTTTCAAGATAGGAACTTTTTATTTTACAGATCAATTGTACATATATCAGAGTTGTGCATAGTACTTGGATTTCGATTTTTGATAATTTATGAGAAAAATACCAGCTGTTGAACTTAATCATTTTAATGCAAGATATGTTCATAGGGTACATTGATATTGTTGGGTTGTTATCTCCAACAGTTTTCAGAATAGAAACTTCCATCTATCAGTTTATTTTATGCTAGATATTGCATACCGGTAATTATCAAAATTTTGTTCTATGGATCCTGGACAGGGTTATATTATACTCAAATGACTGTTAAGGCCCTTGGGCCTCTTGTTTAATATGGTATGTGGTTTGGTGTTTGATCACAAGACATTTTAAAAATATGTTTTAGCAACTCCTTATAACAGGAAATAAAACAGAGAGGTCTTATATGACATTTAAGAAAAGGAGGTCTGGGATGTTATAACAGGGTACAAGGGACCTTGGGCTCTGAGGTGGCATAAGATGATAAAGGATGTCTGGTAAAATAAAGATGAAAGAGGACATTGAAGAAAAGTGAGGTCAAGGTCAAAGAAATGTTGATGCAGTTGAAAAGCTAACATCAGTATGTATCAGCATATGAAATTTGATTACACATTCTTGAATGGTTTCTTTAAAATGGTCAGGGTAAAAAAATGTTGATGCAGTTGAATAGCTCTCATCAATATCTATCAGCATATGAAGTTCGATAAAAATATCTTGAATAGTTTCTTTGAAACTGAGATTTGAACTGAGCTAAATGCAAAGCGCGACAGAAGGACAGACGGAAAGAAAGAAGGATGGAAGGACATGACAAACTCTATATGCCCCAGCCATATTCATGGCGGGGTATAAAAAGGTATCCATGTTGGAGATGACAGGAATGAGGTCTGAGGTGGGAACAAAGATGAATACAAAACAGAGATATATCAGATAAATTGTACTTGAATCAGCGGGAGTTGCTTTCTGCCAAAGGTGCTGGAAATAATACACAGCCAAATGTAATAAATTTACAGTATATATTTACTCACGTTAGCCACATCTGGTTGACAACCTGTCGCCAGTCTTTATCTTCTATTTTGCTGAGACAGGCTTGGTCAAACGACTCGGTTGCTAGGAAGAGTGTAGTGGTATATAGCAGTGTCAGTCTGTAATAAAAACCATAACAATGAAGAAAAGTATAGGAAGAGTGTAGTGGTATATAGCAGTGTCAGTCTGTAATAAAAACCATAACAATGAAGAAAAGTATAGGAAGAGTGTAGTGGTATATAGCAGTGTCAGTCTGTAATAAAAACCATCCAAATTATAACAACAAGGAGTTACGAAACAAAGAAGAACAGTATAGGTTTTCATCTTCTTAATATGAATTGAATTAGGATAAATTAAAAATTTCATATATTTAATATTAACAGTAAATAGTAAAAAGCTGTAAATCTAGTCATAAAAACTGCACACACACCCCTCCCTTTTCTTTTTTTTTATTTGAAAAGGCAAAGGAAGTTATAATTTTTCATATTTCATTTTCCATAGTCATGTAGATTAATATATATGAAAAACAGAACTGTTATATAATCAAACTAAATGATTGCTCTAGTTATTTTTACTGTTGAATTCATAATATATTTACAAAAATTCATTGAAGAAGTCGCTGTTAATCACTTTATCTTGTTTAAAAGTGAAATGAACCTGACAGCTAAGATGTCTAATTACTGGTTGTTTACCATAAACTAGACAGCTACAGCATCTCTCTGCTTTTTCCTGTAGGTCAAAATCTTGATATAAGACAGATGCACATCTGTCATTCTCAAAAGATACACAAACTGAAGGCCAGAATAGATTGTATAAATAATTATTTTTATGAACATATACCGTGTACATAGCCGTAAAATGCAATGATGGGAGATAACTAGCATCCTAAAATTTTAAATTAAATGCCATATGGTGCAAATACTTAATGATTTTTTTTTTTAACTGGGTGGTTTTGCCAAAGAGAAATACAATGTAGCTTCAGATATACAATGTATTATCAAATTCAAAGAAAAATGTCTAAATTTAAAATGTTTTGTTGAATGTTATAATTCTAAAACAATGCATATTCTATTTATGCAAACCTTATTATCTCGAACTCAATGAGACAAAAAAATTCTTCGAGATATCCGAGGATTCGAGATATCCATGGTAAAATTCTTAAGAAATAAGCACATATCCATAGTATTCGAGATATCAGTGTTCGAGATACCGAAGTTCAACTGTATATTCCTTATATAGTCACAGGCTGTGACATATAGTATTTAATTGCATCAACACTGGTAACATATATATTGTATAAGTATAATGGTCCTAGGCTATACAGCTTTACACTGAGTATAACACTGTACAGTAAGATATAACCAGGGCATGAAAATTCTAACAGACCAATAGATAGATTGACCGACAGGAAAGCCCATACCATTATACAATCTGTCAAAAGACAAGCCGGCAGGGGTATAAAAACAAGAGGCCCATGGGCCACATCGCTCACCTGAGTAACTTTGGCCATGCTGTTCTTTACCAGATTTCCACCCTTTTAATATACCTATTGTGGCCCCGCCCTACCCCCGGGGGTCATGATTTGAACAATTTAGAATCTACACTACCTCAGGGTGCTTCCAAATAAGTTTCAGCTTTATTGGTCCAGTGGTTCTTGAAAAGAAGATTTTTAAAGATTTTTCTTATATATTTCAATGTAAAACTTGGATTCCCTACTGTGGCCCCGCCCTACCCCCGGGGGTCATGATTTGAATAATTTATAATCTACAGTACTCCAGGATGCTTCCACGTAAGTTTCAGCTTTTCTGGCCCAGTGGTTCTTGAGAAGAAGATTTGTAAAGATTTTTCTTATGTATTTCAATGTAAAACTTGGATTCCCTATTATGCCCCCCCCCCCTACCCCGGGGGTCATGATTTGAACAATTTATAATCTGCACTACCCCAGGATGCTTCCATATAAGTTTCAGTTTTTCTGGCCCAGTGGTTCTTGAGAAGAAGATTTGTAAAAATTTTTCTAATGTATTTCAATGTAAAACTTGGATTCCCTATTGTGGCCCCGCCCTACCCCCGGGGGTCCTGATTTGAACAATTTATAATCTACACTACCCCAGGATGCTTTCATATAAGTTTCAGCTTTTCTGGCCCAGTGGTTCTTGAGAAGAAGATTTTTTAATGACCCCACCCTATTTTTGTCTTCTCTTGATTATCTCCCCTTGTGAGGGGACTTGGCCCTTCATTTTAACAATTTAAATTCCCCTTCACCCAAGGATGCTTTGTACCAAGTTTGGTCAAAATTGGCCCAGTGGTTCTTGAGAAGAAGTCAAAAATGTGAAAAGTTTACAGACGGACAGACAGCTAGACAGACAGATGGACAGATGGACGGACGGACGACGGACAAAATGTGATCAGAAAAGCTCACTTGAGCCTTCGGCTCAGGTGAGCTAAAAATAGTAGCAATTGAAAAAATCATGCTTGAATGCAGCTTAGTTCCCTTAAATCAAAACCATGAAATCAAGTATGAGCACTCTAGACAAAAAAACTAATGTAGTAATAGCTCCCAGGGATACAAAGAGTTTGATAGGAAAAAATACACTGTTCAGTTGAACTTTGGTATCGAACACTGATATCTCAAATACCATGGATATGTCAAAGTGATTTGGAAGTCCCTAGCCCTTTGTCGTTAAGTACTTTACCCTGGATATCTCGAATCCTTGGATATCTCAAAGTTTTTTTCTTGGTCCCATTGAGTTTGAGATAAAGAGGTTTGACTGTATATGGAAATAAGATTTGACTGTTTCTCATAAGTTTACTGATTTGACTCAGTTGCTCAAATACGCTATTAGTCAAAATTTGCTTAATTCACAAAAAAACATATAATGTAATGTTTATATTTATGAACATATAATGAAAGTTTTATAATAAATACAAATTCACACAGAAACTAAACAGTGTAATTCAATTACTGATAACAGTTGCTGTCTGTTAGTTCCAACTGGAATTTCAAACTTAACTAGGGTTCCTCTAGTAATGGTGAATGAAGAGGGAAGACCCCTGCACTGAATCCCTCATCCCTGCAACATTTGGGGATTTTTTTTTATTAGGTTTACAAGTAAATAAGATTACTTCATAAAAAAAATCATCAGATTTTTATCAGGTTGCAGTTTGAAAAGAAAAGCAAAGCTTTAAATTATAAGTTTAACATAAGAGTGTGTATTGCAAAATTACTCTACTTTTATTGAAAGCATGCTGCATCTGAACAAGAAATGAAGGAAAACTAATGAAGTTTAAAAACATACAAGTTTCAAGTTTGCAGCTTTTTTAAAGGAACATAATGTCTCTCATCACAGAAACATCTGATCCCATTGTCTATTCCTTTGTTCTATTCAAACTCTATCTCAACAATTTATCATTTAGAAATTAATATCAATTTGGAACTCTAAAATTTCTTGTCTGGATGTAATTTCCTATAATTCTGAGTTTTCTGGTAAAAGTTGTCTGCATAGATAATTTACTAGCACATTTTTTTCACATGATATTATCTCACAAATAAAGAGTTCAGGATTTTTCAATCCTAGCTCTTAATATCTGCATCTTTAAAATTTTTTTCTATAACAGTGTTCAAGAGACAAAATTCTATGAAATATGAATCTAATGACAGACAATGATTTATTACTTTATCACTACGCCTATGGGTCATCTTTGGCAAAATTTATAATTTAATAATATAGACAATCCGTCAACATTTTGATCAATGGCACCTCAGCGATTTGAAGCCAGCCTCTGACTTGTGTTGATTGCATGAAGACATCAAGTCTGGGAGGTCAAAATACCACAACAGATCATGGATGTGTGGTCAGTGTATATCACAGTGCTGAACTTAGGCTCCTCTGATTAGGGTTTCTCAGCATGATTTAGAAACAGAATTCTTTTTATTTCTGTGTGATAATGATTTGATACATATGTTCCTCTCTCTCTCTCTCTCTCTCTCTCTCTCTCTCTCAGCACTTATTTTCAGTGTGTGTGTTATTTACCTGACATTGACCACTCCTAGCATTTCCTTAGAGATGTATCTAAGAACCACTCCATTTAGTACAAAAGTCATAATCCTAATGCATAACTGAAATGAAAAAAGAAAATCAAATACAAGTACTGATCATTGTTAAGGTTCATAAACCCTCTGCTCACTCATATAAAATGTTGCTTTAACTCTTATGATTTTCTAAAAGAAATGTACTTTATGACAAAAATACAAACAATCGTATCATGGCTTGTGAGGCAAATATGGACAATAAAGAAATTCAACTTGACAAATTTATAAAGGAATAATAGACATTTATGTCATTAAGAGTTATCTCTCTTATCAGAGTATCAATGAACCTTAAGGTAAGAGCAAAAAAATAAAACAAGTACAACCCTGCAATTGTGTCTTTTTTCTGAAGTTAGTTAGGTTCTTGATAGCTGCAGATCTATAGCTCTCTTGAAATAAATTTGGACAGACATACCAGTCTGAGAGTCAGCTAAACATACACCATTGAAAAAACTTCAGTTTCAGCAACATTTTTTTTTGGTCACAAACTTTGGATATTATATCTTGCATTATATATACAGTGAAACTTGTCTAATCCGGATGTTGTATAATCCAGAATCTTGTCTAATACGATGTAAATTTTAAGTCCTTTTCAGTAAATGCCTTTGTATACAATGTTGTCTGATCCGGCAAACTTTTTTGGAACCGGTGTCCGGATTATACAAGTTTTACTGTACATGCATTTCTCCACCTTAATTAAGTATCCCATGGGATGGTATCTAATAATAAAACAGATTTTTTTCTCCATATTTCAAAGAGAATTACAGTTCTGAAACTAGGTTTTTGACAACTTGTTTATATTTTAACTGTGGGGTATGCAAAAGGTAAATCTAAGTATACTTTGAAATACTGTGGTATCATCATGACCATGCAATTACTGATATTGGTAAATTCACTGGGTCAGCCACATAAAACTTTGTACCAGTACAATTTTAATTTCCTATGAAAATTTACCCCCACCAGTTATCAAAGTGATTCTACCACAAAGACCATATGTATTCAAAATAGAGATATAATCTATAACCCCCCCCCCCCCCCCACCCCCAAAAAAAATAAATAAATAAAACTCAGAAGAAAGACTAAATCATAACATCTCAAGTGTAATTCTCACCTGAAGAGCCATGTTATAAGTTGCAGCTCTTGCTGCTCCAGCTAAAAGATCTCGTCCTTCCATGCTCTCACTTACAAATGTTACAAAAATTCAGATACAAAAGAAAACCTGAAAAATCTATTATATCGATTACATTTTATGTTTCACAATTCGACAGTCGAGTGACAGCACACAAACTTGCATTCCAATCAGTCCAGATAATTTTGCTGCATGCTGCATCAGGTCCCAAAGTTTATCACAGCTCACCACAAATCCTATAATGTTGATCTAGAGGACGTATTATCCAAGTGTTATTGCTAATACGGCACTACCGTGAAAAATTCATTCAACACTATCAACCTACCATTAACTTATTATAGCCTGTCTACAAGACTACATCAGTTCATGGTCTAACATTGGACTGGTAAGAAGAAAAGTGAAAGTGAAACTAAATATGTGAACCCGATTTGAAACAAAGTAATAATTTAAAAATAATTTTAGGCATGAAACATCGCTATATATTTTTTTTACTTGGCTTATTTCATTAACTAAATAATTATAAATTATCCAAAGACAGAATTCACAGTACGAAAATTTTCTCTTTTGACAAATAATAAAGGATTAAAGAGTTATTCCTCTTTGTATTGGAACTCTCCTGTATAATATGGTAACTAGCCGAAAATGATGGTAGGTGAATCATGCTTATAATTTACAATCCAATCCAATCGTTAGAAAATATATAGTTTGTCGTGAATTTTGGAAAAGATTTAAAGAACAGATTCAGTATAGATTTGAACTGTATATTTATGACGAAACCTAATTTCACGTAGGATTGTATTTTTGCACCGTTTTGTTTGGAAATTGCAAGTAATCACATGTTACTCTGGAATGTTCGAAAAATGCAAATTCCGAATTGTGAATCTTGTCATTATGCCCTTTATCAATGCGTATTTTATCAAGTATTTTTTTTTAATGAGACAGATTGTTGCGGGGGTGAATTAGAGTGTCTGGAAAATGAGAAATTGGTAGACACTTCGAATAATGTCAACATTTTACCTCGCGTAACCAAGGATTGAAATAGCTTTTCTTCTATGAAAAGTTATTGCAATAGACCTCAATTACTGAAAGTGAATAAGGGATAACATGAAACTTCCTAGATTTATGATACAGCCATGGCATGAGAGAAATTGTGTAAATTGTTGCTAATCACAGAAAAATTCTGCCATCTCTCCCTACAGCAGTATAGTTTTGCAGACCATTCTCCCAATGTAATATTTTCAAAAGACAAGTAAATTTATGTAATCAAGAAGGGTCCTTCCACTGGTCAGGTTATGACAAATTCAATTGCCAAATAGATTATAGTAACAAATGAATTGATGGGGGAAAAGATTTAAATTCATTCATATACGATTTTTTTTTTAATCTGCATACATGTAAATACATGTGTTTAGTGCAACAACTTTTAAATGAAGGACTACAATTTGTGAGACTGATTCCCAAGAACCTGAAGAAATAGTGTATTGTCTTAACAGATGTTTGAACATGTCTGTGATTTAAAATAGTTTTATTTTATGCAGTTTCTGAAATGCTTGCAGTGATGATACTTTCCCCAACATATCGATAAATGTTGATACAGTGCTGTTATTTAAAAGCCAAACATCTGATGCAAGCATCTAAATTTCTCTTTCATAATTTTTTTCTTGTATGTTTTAACAATGTTAAAGGAATCATTTGTCTATCATTTCAGCAACCACAGATTATCTTGCTGAAGGAAGGGACTGATTCCTCCCAGGGAATCCCCCAGATTGTTAGCAATATCAATGCATGTCAGTCTATAGCTGATGCTGTCAGAACTACACTGGGTCCAAGGGGCATGGACAAGCTTATCATAAGTGAACAAGGTGACTCTTATTTTGTACAAGCTGATATTGAATGTATTCAGAATTCGCAAACCTTGCATCATAATAAATTATTTGTTATCTCGGTATCCATCATTTACAGTAAATGTTGAAATTGATTTGTTGGGCTACTTTTTCAGGAAAGTCTATTATATCGAATGATGGAGCCACAATTTTGAAGAATTTGGACATAGTGCACCCTGCAGCTAAAACATTAGTTGATATAGCTAGATCTCAAGATGCGGAGGTAAATAAAGTGAAATCAGTTCAAGCTTATTGTTGTCAAATCAAATGTTTGAATTTTCCATTAAAGATAATTTAATTTTGTCCATATGTTTACAGGTGGGTGATGGCACAACATCAGTAGTTTTACTAGCTGGTGAATTTTTGAAACAAGCCAAGCCTTTTGTTGAAGAAAATGTACACCCACAAGTCATCATTAGGGCATTCAGAAAAGCTACAAACCTAGTGAGTTAATACTGAAATGTGTAAAGTGAGAAACATGAATTTTACATTCCTGTTCTGCATCACAGTTTGGAGTCCAGTGTTCCTTTAATTGTTGAATCCTCCAAGTATTTCTTGGTTGGGTTCAGCAGTTAAAGGTAAATGCATTGTTGATTCAGAGCCTGATGCAGAGAGGGTAGAGAAATGGAAGTCGTGAGACTGTGTTGACAAACATCGTTTTCTCAGTTCGAACTCCTTCCGACAATTGTATATGTTCAGTAGTGCATGGTTAGACAGAACTTTCAGGGAAATTCATTTCTAGAGTATATGTATTTAAGGTGTTCTGTCTTCATCAAAAACTTTATAGAGATTTTACAGTTAATTATCTTGTGATATTTTTTAGATGTGTAATTTTGGCCACACAATTTCTTACAAATATCTTTTATTTGCAAGTAAGAGTCCTTTTTTTCCCCAGAAGATACAGTCAGCCTCATAGAGTTCTTCTTAGCCATATCTTATTTATGTATTTATTTTAAGTTATGATGATGGAATTTTACTTTGTTATGGAAGAACAGTTTTTATTGAGTATAAATGATGAAATTTTAAAGCTGCTTCATTATAATTTGTCTTAGAAGATGAGAAACTTTCCTTTTATGATTTTATGTACTGTATTTTCTTTTCAACAGAGTGTTCAAAAAATCAGGGAAATTTCTGTAAAAGTAAAGAAGGATGACAAAAAGTAAGAAACTATTTTATTTACACTCAAAAAAATTGTAACTGAAATTCACATAATTGTCAGAGGTATATATAAAAGAAAAGAAGATGCAGTGTATATTGTTACTTTCAGGGAGCACAGGCAATTGCTGGAGAAGTGTGCAGCCACAACGCTGAGTTCAAAACTTGTGGCTCATCAGAAAGACTTTTTTGCTAAAATGGTGGTAGATGCTGTCATGCTACTAGATGAATTACTTCCACTGAACATGATTGGTGTAAAGAAAGTCACAGGTGGAGCCCTAGAGGTGAGAAAAGTACTCATTGGTGCATGTTAGTTAAAATACAGTTGTACACTGTAACAAACTTCCACTGATAAGTCAACTGTGGACCTATGTCAGGTTTTTGGTGTTACATCAGTGGTAAATAAAGAGTCATTACCCTGTGTGTCAGCCACTGACTGTTTTAGTCAGGGTAGACATGATAGGGGTGTGGCTTTCTTCCTGAGAGTTGGTTGTATGCTTCTCTTTGAGTATGACCATAGCTTGTGAAGGTACATGTACTAAATGTGCTCTTAGTAAAAGTGGGCTTCATATTTAGTGGCTTTGGTGCACACAAGGATGCATAATTTAAGAACACCTTAATAAATCACGAATGAATACAATGAACAGTGGGGATTCTGCAGTGCTAATTCATGATAATGCCAACCGCTCTATACCAAGCTATTGTGCTAAATTTTGAATATGTTATTTTATGTTCACGTACAGTTAATAACAAAGTGGTCTTACTCTTGTCATTTTGACTTTGATCCAGTTTCATGATTATGACGGTAAATGCGGCACCTTAAGTTAATTTTTTTGCCTTTCAAGTTTTCTATCATGTTTTGGATTGTAGGACTCCAGGTTGGTGGCGGGTGTTGCATTTAAGAAAACATTTAGTTATGCTGGCTTTGAAATGCAACCTAAGAAATATGAGAAACCAAAGATTGCACTACTTAATGTTGAACTGGAACTTAAAGCTGAGAAAGAGAATGCTGAAGTACGAGTAGATAATGTCCAGGTGAGTTATCATAATCACTTTGTTGTAATTTATACAGCATCAAGAATACAGGAACATTTCTTTAAACCAATAAAACAAGTTTCTGATTTGACATGGATTTGCTTGTGTTATAGGAGTATCAGTCCATTGTTGATGCAGAATGGAAAATCCTGTACGAAAAATTAGACTGGATTCACAGGAGTGGAGCCAAGGTTGTGTTGTCAAAACTCCCCATTGGAGATGTTGCCACTCAGTATTTTGCAGATAGGTAATGGAACATTAAATTTTAATAGATAAAAATTAAATTATGATGGGTTCAGATAAAAAAGATGGAAAGTTTTTGCAATGAAGCAACATGACAAATGCTATGATGTTTTCTCACGATGGTCTTCTGAAATAATTATCTGAAGACAATGCCAATAGGCTTTGCTGAGCACATCTGTCAAACATTGCACTATGCTTGCAGAAAAGTAGAAGTAGAGATGAAAGACTGTTTTTCATAAGCATCATCTGACTTACATTTCAGGGTTTTGAAAGTAAATGTACATTTCATTGAAAAATTTAATATAGAATGAGATTTTAATGAGACTATTCTTGAGATAAAAAATAACCGTGGTGTAAACCTGTGCCAAAAGATACCATTTCAATGCCACAGGCAGACGAATTGTTTGTTGGGCTTGTAAATAGTTAACTTTATTGCAGGTGGTAGGGAAAGTCACACAGACTGTGTGATTGTGATAATCAGAAGTCATTAAGGGTTTATGTAACACATTAAGCAATATTAAGTATTTAAGGACCTTATAAACCACTTCACATCTGACTTCCAGCCGACTAAATATGAGCAAACATAAATTAAGAAATTCCGAATTAAAGCAACAATTTTCTACAAGTTATGTAAACTATGATAGATTTAGAGAATTGAATTTAGAGGTTAATTTGAGAGAGTTTTAAAATAATATATATACTAATCATGCTAATTGGGTTTCAACAGTGATTTTTTTGGGGGGGTTGAAATGCTACCAATATTCGGCTGTTTCCCCTCACAAAAATTAGCTATTTTTTCCCAATTATTAGTATATTTTTCCCAATTTCAAACATACGAAAATTATGTTTTAATTCTGAACAAAAGTCGCTAAATTTGCTGACAGAGTAAATACGTTTTTATTCTTCAAATCCATTCATATGCACCAAATTTTTTTAATGAATGTGTAAAACAATGCAGATATCCATATAAGCAAATAAGTAGCTTATAATATTCTCAGTGAATTGTTAAATAGTTCCCAGATACAAGTCATGTTGCATGTTGACATAATGATTTTGGTTTGACCGCCATTATTACATAGAGGGTCAGGCTAATAACAGGAAATGGACAACACATAGGGTTTCACTAAAATCAGGAAAAAACAAACAGTAAAGAAAGACTGTAAACTTTATTATCAATATAAGACAGTTTACTAGATTATGAGTCTAAGTGCGGTTATTTTTTTTTAATGAAATTAGACAAAGCAATTCCAAGAAAATAGAAGCTACAAGATGTGACTAATATAAGCCATGTTCACATTCAATAAAATATTGATGTTAATTTTTTTTTGAAATGATTATGAATTTAAATCAAATTTAATGTTAAAATCAAACAAAATCTGTTGTTGTTACGTAGTTTGATTATTTTAATATGTACTTTTTAGCATTCTAATTTACTATAAATAATTTTTCCCAATTTGAGGAAAATGTCGCTAATTTTTCCCAATTCAAAAGGAGGGGGTGGTGGTTTAAAAAACAAAAAAAATCACTGTTCAATAAGTACAATTTTAAGTTAAAACTTAACTCAATAGTATTAAAATTTTGACCTATGGAAGTAAGAAAACATATTAATTTAAAGGAGAATGTAGGTCCAAAAGCAAACATTGCATTAAAATAAATATTTAAAAACAAATAAAAGACAGGTGCTATGATGTTTACTCACGATGGTCTTCTGAAAATGAAAACTGAAGTCAATGCCAGATGGCTTTGCTGAGCACCTGTCACATCCTGATATTCTTCTTAATACATCTGATTTGTGGAAGGCAGTTGTCATATTGTTGAAATGGAAAAATCTTCAATATATCTTAAAAACTACAAGTAACGCAATGTACTTTTTCCTTGTGGTATTATAATTTACATTATGTAAGCAATCAAAAATATTCCACAGAAATTTTCTCACAATACATGGAGTACATTAAGGCATATAGTGGCAATTTTATACCCACAGATTGAACAGACATTGTGATTCCACAGATTATGAATCTGTGGAAAAAAGTACATTTACAGTATTATTAAACTTGGCGGATAATTTTAGAAAGAAGCGTAATTTCATGTTATCATTAAATTTCAGGGACATGTTCTGTGCAGGCCGAGTCCCTGAGGAGGATCTGAAGAGAACAATGAAGGCATGCGGGGGATCTATACAGACCACATGTCAGAACCTACAGGGCAGTGTTCTTGGATCCTGTGAGAAATTCGAGGAAATTCAGATAGGGGGAGAAAGGTGGGAATTTATGTGGGAAAGAATAATTATTAAATTCCATACATTTCTATACATGCATAATTAAGTTTCAGTTTGACTTCAGAAATTAAAGTGTACATGACATTTTGTTATGAAAAAGAAAAGTATGTAGCATATTTTAATCAGAATTTACACTCTGACATTGGCTTTGTTTAGGTACAATCTATTTACTGGATGTCCAGAGGCAAAAACATGCACACTTGTATTACGAGGAGGAGCAGAGCAGTTCATTGAGGAAACGGAGAGGTCTCTTCATGATGCCATTATGATCGTCAGGAGAGCCATGAAGAATGATGCTGTTGTAGCAGGTAAGAGAGATATTCCAGAATTATATGTATGTTGCTGAACCGATATCAAACTTTGCTTTAAGTATTGAAGGGGTCAGCTTCCATTCTTAATAAACTGTTCTCAGTTTACTATGAATCGGTCTGTTAAATTGATTGGATGTACAGTGATGATGTACAGTGACGATTCTGTTCCAATATTTAGCGTAGTTCCGCTAATTTGAATCCAAGAATCCGATATTAACAAGTGTTTTCCGATATTTCAGCACTTTCTATTTTTGCAGCAACCCGCTTCCATTTTAGTCCGCGTAAAAAATTCAAATTGTTTCGTCCATGTTTCATCTAGTCTGCATCATACAGACATTTGCTTTTATCTGCAAGTAAGGTAAACACAAACTTTAATAGGAATGATTCAGACTTCCTTTCAATGGCGCGGCTGTCCATCCAGCTGGTCAGGGTGTAAAAGTTGTTGAATAAACTGTCACACTTTAATTTTCGTCACTCATTTAAACTTACTTTGGGATGCTAAAGCCCATATTTCGTCAGCCCTTCAACCCCCAAACTTTTTCAGATATTTTGGCCAATTTACAGAATCATCACTGGATGTAATTTTGCAATATACATGTATAGGTCATTAATTAGAGTTCTTGCCTTACTAGAAATGAGAAAGAAAATGATTAACAATAAAATTCATCATTGATAAATGCTTAGATAATGCTGTGGTATTTTATAGGTGGAGGAGCCATTGAAATGGAATTGAGTAAATACCTGAGAGATTACTCCAGGTCAATAGCAGGAAAGGAACAACTTATGATCAGTGCAATGGCAAAAGCTCTAGAAGTCATTCCAAGACAACTGTGTGATAATGCAGGGTTTGATGCTACGAATATTCTCAACAAACTCCGACAGAGCCATGCAGAAGGTAACTGATTCTGATTTTGCATGCCCTTTATGTGTATGGGAAATATTCAAGTTTCAGCTATCTGATAGAAAGCTGTGATTGAAATTGTAGAAATCTATCATCTGTTCCAGACAAGAAATTCATTCTTTCACTTTTGATGCAGAATATTTTTACGCACAAGACAAGAAAACATAAAATAACATAATTATGCATGTTGTTTCTTGTTTCAGGAGGTTTATGGTATGGTGTTAATATAATGAAGGAGGATATTTCTGATAATTTTGAGAACTGTGTTTGGGAGCCTGCTATTGTCAAAATTAATGCCATCACTGCTGCATCTGAAGCCACTTGTCTGATCCTCTCTGTCGACGAAACAATAAAAAATCCTAAATCAGGAGGAGATGCCCCTGGGGGTGGCCCCCCTGGCATGGGGCGTGGTCGAGGAAGACCCATGTGAAGTGTATCACCAGAAATAGGAACAAATTATGAACAAATGGATCTAAGTCTTGTCACCTGAAAAAGTTCAACAGATCTGGAAATATGGCAATCTGAATCAGAGGTGCCCTTTCAAAATCTTCAAACATTCAGCAGCAGATAACAAGTCAAGTGTTCATCTATAGACTACAGCTTCTGTGGCTATTATACTTAACCTAGTGTGAAATCCCTTATACATTGTGAGAGACTGACCATTTTGCTAAGAGCTGTGATGATGTACATTGTATTATAAAATGTATGATTTTTAGACTGTGCTTTGATTGTATATTTATTTCATATGAATAAATAAGTCTCTAAATTCTCTTTGTTCTTAATGGTTGAACTACAATTTGTAGTCAACTATTTTCCACCTGTCCAACTGACTTCTTTTTGGAGCTTCATTCTACATTTTCTGATTGACAGATTATTAATTATGCCTTACAATTCAGAGTATTTGGATTGAGACACTATGTTAAAACAGATAATGGTGTAGATTCCTTGTTTGATGCATCTCTATCCTTTTGCATGGCCCAATATTCATGAATCACCCATATATTGGTCCTTTGTTTACAAGGCTTGTAATAATTTGGAACAATTTTAAAGTCCAGGTCGGAATATTTGCATGTATGTACATGTACTATATTTTGTGAATTCCCTGTCTGACAGTAGTATATTTTGTCACATTGCCCAAATTTTATAAGCATGTATTTCAGCCATTTATGGTTGTTTAAACTTGTGTGGTGTCACCCGCATGGCACAGTGGTTACAGTGTTTGCTATAGAGTCGCAGAGTAAGCTTAGAGTTGATCCTTAAGTCACGGGTTCAAATCCACTGTGTGAAGTGGAGACTGGTCCTATAAATGAGACCGTATACACTGAGGTCCTGTGTCACAGTAGTATGATCCCTCACTGTTCAAAGGCTGTAGGTGCAGCCCTACACTAGCAAGTGGTGGGTCTTAATTTTGAAGGGTGGTTAAACAAGCAAAAAAACAAATTAAAACTTCTGTGGTAGATGATAATGTGTTATTTTTTTATGCCCCACCATGAAAGTGGATGAAGCATATATAGTGTTTGTCATGTCCATCGTCCGTCTCCATCCATGTGTCACACTTTGCATTTACCTCAGTTTCAAAGAAACTGACATAGACATTTTAGCCAAAATTCATACACGTATATGGATGAAAGCTATTAGGCTGTGGCATACTTATTGGACCTTTCCTGTGATCTTGTCTCACTATTCCCTATTTTGTGTCTAACTCAGTTCCTACGTAACTATCCATATAAATATCGTATCTGACTGTCAAATTGAAAATGAGTACATTTCCTATTTCACTGCTGTAAAGATGTTTTTATCAAAATTCATTATGTATATAGAGGATATTCAATGTTTTGTAGATGGATATGGAATTGATCTCACGAGTGGGACAGGATTTTTTTTATATTTTCAAGAGTGCGCTGTGGGACAGGATTTTTTGATATTTTCACGAGTGAAAATATCGAGAATTCCTGTCTCACAAGTGAAATAAATTCCATATTCATTTACGAAACATTGAATTTTCTGTTTATTACATTTTCTTAGATTTTGCCTTTGTCTTTTCGTAACACAGTGTCATAAGTTGATAGAAATCGAAAACTTTTAAAATCGGCCCATATACCTGTGCACATCCCTTCCATGGTGCATGGCAAAACTTAAGTCTAGCTGCTTGCACGACCCTCTTTTAAAGGAATGCTTATAAATAGTTTCTCCAAAACAGAAGGCCATGTTAGTGATATTAATAAAGAAGCATCTCAATGTTTTGTGCATTCAAATTACATGTATAACATGACCCACTTGAGATAGGTTGGGGTAAAAGATTTTCATTTGAATAGAGGGGATCAAGGGGTTATTAAAGATCTTTTTCTTAAGAACAGCAGGGCCAGTGTGACTTGGGTGAGCATTGTGGCCCATGGGTCTCATGTTTCTTCTAGTGAGACAATTATGAAAATGCCTTTCACGGCATACACCATAAGACCATTTCAGTCTGAAGCAACCGGTAGTGCATATGACTTCGAGGTGATATGATAGACATATGTCACTTTTCATCATTTGAGAAACAGTTACCACCCCCCTGGGTGCCACAGCATCACTAGCTGACTACTATCGGAAACTTTCACTTTCAGATCAGTGCCATAAAAAGAGCGCAAACAGCTCCGAATAACTGGTTTGCGGTAGAGATGTGTATTAAACTATTAAACAAAAAAAAAAAAAAAAAAATCGATACGGTACGATATTTAATAAAGCAATCCACGATAAATTGGAGTTTTTTTTTTGTGTTTTTTTTTTAATAAATTACAAAAAATCTAATTATGAATCATTTATTGCATAAAGAGCAAGAGCCACGAACCATCAAAAATGGCCCTGTCTCAAAAAGTAACGGGGTTTTGTCAGTTGATAGTGTAGACTTTTAGCTTTTCTTTGCCGTTTTTCTTTTTTGAATATCGATTATACTTTTTTTGAAAAAGAGAGTTTGAAGTATGACGGTGTTTTAAAAGAAAATGCTAGTAGAACGTCATTTTTTGAAACGTAACGTCGTAGGGCGGAAAAATTACCTTGAGCGATTTTACATATGTGATTTTGAATTAAAACTAGTATCAATTGCAATGGACATTTGTCTTACTTATAAACTTCATAATTAATTTAAGACAATTAAGAGCAGTTGGATATTGATTTCACATCGCAGTCTTGATGGCAACTGCGTTACACTCTACCTGGTCCCTATTCTATTATAATTTTTAAGAAGGAACATTGTATTTCTATCCCTTGAACATATTTTTGTGCGATGCATCGCTCCTAGTTACATGTAAGTATTGAGTATTAAACATCATTTAAAAAAACATATGTCTTGCTTCAAATGACGATAGCCCGTCCAACTTAGTTTTCCGGACTTTTTCCAATATGCCTGCAAATATTAAGCTTATATCCTTGGAATGCGCGTCCATGCACGAAGTTTGTTTTTCAAAGGGGGCAGTCAGAAAAAAATAATAAGATACTTGAAATGATCTTAAAACGAATGTTTCTAAACTGAAGAGCCACAATGTAATTCAATAACTGGATAGAAGTAATTGCAAAAAAAATTGTTGAAATGGAAATAGACTTTTAATCCGAAATTCTTAGATCCTGAACTTGCGAGCATTTTAACATATAAAAGATCTAAATGATTTGGAAAAATGGAGGAAGTAAAAAGTTGGAAGGACTTGTTTCTAAGCCATTTACAGTAAAACTCAGTTATAGCGAAGTTCTGGAGAACTGCGAAATTACTTCGCTATATCCATAATTCGTTATATCCGTATAACAAATTCCTTAAAGTATACATAGAGATTTCGCAATATGGTTTTTTTAATCCTTCAAGTATGACTAACAAATGTACATGTATTTACGGAAGTATAAAATACAACATTTACTTTGGAGTTCAAAAGTTTTCGGATGAATTGAGTTTCAAATATGATTACTTACAATTAATATATCAGTTCAATATTTTAAAAATTGAGATCTTTGAAAATTCGCTATAAAAGATGTACATTTCGTTATTTTTAACTTGTAGGGGACACAAAATTAGTTCGGTATAACCGTAAAATTGCTATATCTGAATTCGATATAGCCGTAAAATTTTACACGGAATATTGTTAGGAATTTTGCAAGGGATTGCAAAAAACTTTGTTATAGCTGTACATTCGGTATATCCGTGTTCATACTAAATGAGTTTTACTGTATTCATTTATAACAATAATTTGAATGTCGTTTTCGAGACAGAAACATAAAACATTATAGATTAATTGAAAAGGGGTGTCGCAACTTATCAAAATGGTTTATTTAGTAAACAGAACTCATTAAAACACTGTCGCCCTAAATGTGAGTTTCTTTGGATTAATATGGAATACATTTCAAAAAAAAAAAATTCTTAGGAAAGATAAATCTGTTGAGAAATCACTAATTTAAGGCTAAAGCAGAAAATAAATCAGCCCTGTTCATTATTATATATTTATCGGTATTTGCTAGAACCCCCACCCCACCCCACCCCAACCACACCCCGCACACACACACACTCTTCTCCTGCAAAATATTCGAATATTTCTCTCCCTAATATCTTTACTGCAAGGAATTCGTAAAGATGGAAATCTGCGAAAATTTATATATTATGATTATTTTCCATGTAAATGTAAAAAATGATTAAACATGAACAAATACTCGTTTTTAGCACACGTAACTATAAAGTGTAAAATTCCCACTTTCGATATCATTGCACATAATGTTTTTTGTGGTTTATAAAAAGAGTAGAGCTGATATGTGGGTCACATTCATAAGTGAAACACATGTATAGGTGTTCATTTATCCTTGTCTTATTGTCCTACAATCAGCGCAAGATTGATTTTATTCAACAAAAACTTGCTTAAAAAGGTCTTACCCGCAGAAGCAATAAGAGCTGTCCCTACATTTTCTTTTCAGTTTTCTTTATGAAATTTTTTTTTCGTACACAGTGGTGGTGCCGCACCAGGCACCCCCCCCCCCCTTTTTCACTAAGGAAAAAATGAGAGGAGTAGGAAAGTCTAAACCAATTTTCAATTTCTAGATTGATTTCTATTAATAAACAATAAAGAAAGTTAAATTCAAGACAACTTATAGGATTAAACTTTGAATAATTACATTAATTAAAGTTTTGCTGTCATTAGTTTATGACACCCCCCTTTTTTTCAACCTCAACTGGAAGTCTTGAATCTACCCCTGATAAGTCCTTTCTACATATCATAATACTAATAATTAATTAATACTGAGGAAAGAGGTAAAAGTGTACAATACCAGAATAAGCTGACAATAGATTTAAAAAAAATATTATTTTTATATGTATTATCAAAAAAAAAATTATATCGTTGGGTTTAAAATAACCAGCTATAAACAACTTACGCTGATACGTTTCAAAGAACATATTCCTGGTTTATTGTTTTGATTTTTAAACACATTTTAAGGACTCTCTCTCTCTCTGAGTTTTCGTGGTGCTGAATTCTTAGATAAAACAAAATCTATACTTACAGTCGCAATAAAGAAATGGTGGCAGATTAAAAAAGAAACTTTAGAGTAATTGATATGTAACGTACTTTATTTCATTTATTTATTTTTATTCTTTATTTTTTCTAAATAGATTTAAAACCACTACCCTTTCCACTAATCGACGATCTGAAGCATAAATTACTTAAATTGTGATAGTAACTATGAAATATTTGGAGCACAGTAAAAGATGCATATAAACGTTTTATACTGGATTTCTAAGACATACTGTGATATTTT